TTGTGCATGTTAGCAAGGGCTTTTTAGTCTTTTTGCCCTCTGTGTATGTTGACTTTTTGACTAAATAATTGATTAATGAATAGTGTTAACTTTTTGACTTTTTTGCGTATTTTAGATGATCCCAAACAAGCACTAAAATTGTGGGACTAAGAGCATCCACACCAGCCTCTTCAAATTTTTAGTCAAATTATAGCTAAAAAAGCTATTTTACTATTTTAGGTAGTCACCTCTTTAGCACCTACTGCATCAAACTCTCTATTTTAACTCAATCTTATTAAAATATTATTTTCTTATTGTATTTGTTATTCTTTCTTTTTTTATTAAACTGATAAGTTACCAATCAAATAATTCTTATATATATATATATATATATTGGCCGTTGACCGGTTGATCGGCCGGACTTCCGGTAATACTAATCTCCGTGTTGTAGCGATGAACAATACCTCGCTTGTTATAACGAGGTACTGTAGCATTCATAAATTAGCGAGATACTATAGTGAGACTGATGGACTTCCATTTTTGACGAACAGTATCACTAATTTAGCTAATAAACGATTTTAATTAGTTTGATGCGGATATTCTAATACTTTTATTGGGATTTTGGAGAGTTATTTCACAAATGTTAAACACTTACCTATTTGCAAAGTAATTGTTTCAACATTTAATTGTGATTTTTTTTTCCAGCCTTCTAGTCTAGAAAGATCTTTAAAATAAATATATTTTTTTCCTTGAAAAAATCCAACAAAAGTTCATCAAGGACCCAAAAAAGTTTTAAATAAAATAAAAAATTATGGGAGCTTTTGTTAGTAAATTTCATTCTTAAGAGTTATGTTTCATCTAATCCATATTCTTTTTAAATATTTCATTAGGTCCTATTTAGTATAATATGACCAAATCACCCTTTCGACTTCTGCGCCTGTTTCTATTTTTAAATTAATCCACAATAAAAAAATAACAACAATTCTCCATTCTTAAGACTATTTTGATTGTTCAATGACAATAAAAATAATTACTCAACCAACAGCAGAGCAACAAATAATATATAACAAATTATCAAACAATATATAAAAAATCATCAAATAGTTCATATATATTGACGTATTTTTTTAGAAAAATTTGTATACAATCAACTCTGGTATAATATCGGTGAATAAACTACATAATATCGATGACTACACAAACCAATGAAGAGACTATGATTTAGGTATAACAATGGCAAAAAAAAAAACGTCGTACGGAGGAGCGTGGACTTGGTCAACAGGATTATACGAGGAGAATTATTTCCTCCCCGTACAATCTCTATCATTAATCTACAGGTACAACTAAGTTTCTCTTCCAAATGTTCTTCCATGACATGACACTGTAAAATAATGGTGAATGAAGATCTTTGATCAAGAGAATTCCTTACATTGAGGCAAAGAAAATGCTAAGAATAATAATCTTCTATATTTATATCCATTATATATATACCATAAATGAAATATATCTAATAATAATTTTCTCTCTTAGATATATGGTATTATTTATATATATATCTATATATATTATAATAAAATTTTACAAAAGTAAAATAGTCCCCATAATACTTCTAATATGAAAAAAAAGACTTATTAGAATATAAGTTCAAATGTATGAGATTAGGTGGAACACAAGAATACTTTGTGCACTTATTGTACTATAAATCCTTTAAATCAGATTTATAAATAAATCTCTCAAAAATTATTTTTTCTTTACTAGACATTTTGCAAAATATTATTTGTTTATTTAAGACTTCAAATCCAATAGAACCTAAAAGTGAATTATAATTTTTTTGGAAAGACAATAGAAAAGGTTTATTTAAAAAAAAAAATGTTATCAACTAGCCTTAATTAATTAGGCATCGAATTTTTAACAAAATATTTTCCATCAAGATTTTACTATAATTAAGGAGGATCCCCACCGGTCTATATTTTGAACTGGAGGGTGATATTTGGACCCAAAAGGCTCATCAAGAGTCCCTTTTTGATGATCCAAATCGTTTATTTTGTCAGACACTTTGTGTATTTCATCAAAAAAAAAAATAAAAAAATTAGGTCGATTCAATAACTGTAACTTGTTCAATTTATTGCATTTGTCATTAAAAAAATATATAATTTAGTTTTAAAAACATTATCATCTTCATTTTTTTTTTTTGTGAAAAATGGGCTATAGTTATCGGATCAATTTATTTTTTTGTTTTTGTTAATAAAATACACGACAAAATGAACCGTTCAAATTATCAAAATGAGACCTGTAGTAGGCTTCAAAGGCCCAAACAACACTCTCCAATTCAAAATATGGATAGGAAGGGTCCTCCTCCCTTCCAACTATATCTTCTTCTTCTTTTTTTGATTCAACCCCACTATATCTAACCCCCCCCCCCAAAAAAAAATCCCATTAACATATTCATATGCATTTGTAAGGATTACCTAATCACCTAAGTTTGGTCGTATTTTCAATTTCATACTTTAGAAACAAAATAATAAAGAGTGCAAAATCAATTTTATTTTCATATTGTTGTCATCTTTCGTCTGATAAGAGTTTATGAAAATTTAAAATAACTTTATAGTTTTGTGTGTGTGTGTGTGACAAAAGTAGTAATTAAAAAAAAATTAATGTGATCTATATCTTCTATCTTCTATATATCTCATTAACAGAGAATGGCAGTCCTGGAGATGCAGCTCTAACCCACAAAAGCCACTCTAGTTGTAATGCAATCGCAAAGCAATTGGTTGAGCTGTACTCATCAGTTTGCTATGTGATCATTTTGGGAGTGCATAGCACTTAAGGGTGGTGTTTGTTTTCTTGTGTTGTTTTTTTTTTTTTTAAATCTTTTTGCTTTGATCTTGTTTGGTTTGCTACTCACCAACTTGTTGGGATGCTAGTAAATGATTGAGCTTGTTTAATAGTGCCAACCTAGTTGAGATCATTTTGTTTTGTTACGATCTGGTTTTTGGTTTCCTTCTTCAGTAAAGTTTCTTTTGTCGATTACAATCATTCTTTTCAACTTTTTCTATCCTAAAACATTACATCAATAAAGAGGAGGTACACAAGGTTTGAACCCAAGACTTTAGATTTTATTAATAACATTAATTTCTTATCAATTGGGCAATATGCATATTATAATACTAATTTCTTTTCTTGTTGTGGAGCTCTCAAATGACAGTATATCGGAGGTAGGTTGCTGAACTTGCTATCATTCTTTATCTACTCTACAGGTATGCCTATCCCTGCACACATTAAATTGTCTGTGGACAAGCTTCAAGGTCAGTACATGAATCTGAAGATTAGATTGAAAGAGAAAGATGAAGTCATCGAGTGTGCTGTGGTTTGTTGTCAAGATCTACACTAGTTGAGTTCTAATTTTGTATAGTCTCAGATTTGGTTATAGTCTCAAATCTAGTTTTGAAAGAAACTTATGATGATGATGAGTTGTGCGTGTGTGGGTGTATGTTTGCATATGATGCATCTGGATGGATCTGTGTGTGGGTGTGTATATTTTGTTGTTATTGTTGTTGATGTGTTGGTGTTCATGATGTTGATGATGATAATGAAGCAGATTAAAACAAATTTGACAGATTTGTTCAAATTTTAAACAGATAATACAATTCTATACAGATATGATAGGTTTGTTTTGAACAGATTTGTTCAAATTTTGAACAGATAATATGGGTTTGGTATTTTAATAGATAGGGGTTGGCTTGGTATAAATGTAAACGGATAAATATAAATTTGAACAGATAAAGAGAAGTAGAGAGAGAAATAGATAGAAAGAGAAAAGAGGAGCGGAGAGAGGAGCAGATAGAGAAAGAAGTTTGAAAATGGTGTTAATTTGAACAGATAGGAAAAATAGGTCATAAAATTTTAACAAATAAAAAAAATTCAACAGAAAAAAAATTGAATAGATAGTCAAAAAAGGTCAAACAGATAAAAAAAAAAAGTCAAATAGATAAATTAAGAGGTAAAATTTGAAACAAAATATCCTTTTAAAATAACAAAAAGACTTCTCACCAAATTATTTCATAAAGGGTGGATCTCTCACCAATTTTCTCTAATATTAATTTTCTATTATTTATTTTTATTTTTACTTATTTGAATTGCATCCGCTTGTACTATTATTAGTGAGCAGCATACATATTATAATACTAATTTGTTTATTATTTATTTTATTTTTACTTAATTGAATTACACACATATTGCATGTGCCATCCGCTTGTACTATTATTAAGTGAACAGCAGACATATAGATAGAGGTGGAAAATGTTTGAACCCAAGATCTAATTCTTACCACTTGAGTAACCTATGATATTAATTTTTTTATTTTTTATTTTTATTCTAATTTATTTGAATTGAACACATGTGGTGTGCGCCACTCACTAATTATTTAAAAATAAAGACAAAGAAAAACACAACCAAACTACTTCGCTACCCAAACTCTTGCTGAGTGATTTATATTACAATGCTATTAATTGTTGGCATCAAAAGACTTTGGTCTTCAGTTCTCCCCTTTACTTGTCTCTTAATCTCAAAATAAAAAAACAAAAAATAATAATTAATAAATATTGAAACTAATTTTGAAGAAAGAAGAAGATTATTTCAAAATGTGGACAATTTAAATATTATAATGAAAACAGTTATTTTTCATTTTATTTCAAATAAACTACAATTTAAGTTCAAATTATAAAATTATCTTTTAATTCAACAAATTATGATTTAATAATTACTAATTTATACAATTGTCTCCAACTCAATCACATGAACACAAATGAAAACTTTCAATGATTAAATAAACGAAACCAATAGTACAGGGGAAAAATAGAAATATTGGAGACAAATAGTGTTATGTTTTTATATTTAATGGTGGCATGGCGGTGATAATTGTATGATGATATAGGTATTGTAACAGGGTAGTGTTATGACCGTGATATGATTTTTAATTCGTAAAATATTTTTGGGAGACCATAAAGAGGTTGGTGGTATTGAATCTATCAGACAGCCACTTGACCCTCACAGCCAAAGTTCGCTTTAGGTGAGAACAATCCCCTGTGCAACTGTGGACCAGCAAGTCGCACCACAGAGCCACTAATCACGCTCTGGTCATGAGGCTTTTGTTCATCCATCAGATTTTGGGTCCTGACTCCTTCGAGCTCAGGGATTCGGAGACACAATCCTACAGAACAGATCCTTTTCAAGTAAGGTCATGCCAGTTTCTCTTCTTCTAGCCTTATAAATACAGTTCATTTTTCTCTTAACATTTCAGTGTGGGACTCTCTGTCTTTCTTGTTTTTGTTTCTGGGTTGAGCTTGTAAGCATTCTTCATTTTAGATTTGATTTGGATTTGAAAATCTGAGAGAGAAGAAGTTCGATTGAGAGTTTGAAAGACCCAAAAATGATAGAATAAAGCAGAGGCAATACAGACATATATGCTTTTCTGTTATGTTGTGTTTAGTTGGGGGATTTGAAGAAGGATTTAGAAAGGGAAATGGAAAGGTAGATGAAATATGAATAAAACATACTTATATTTCACCTAGTTTCGTACACATTTTTTCTTTCCCTTTCTAAATCCCTTTCCAAATCCCCCAATCAAACATAACATTACAATCAAACATAACGTTAGTCTCCTTTTTTTTCTTCAATACTTTCAAATTTTGTATTGAAATATCCTGTTTTGTATACTGGAAAAAAACTCACCACTATTTATTTATATGAAGATAAACAGACATTTTAAAATAAAGGCAAAAACATTTCCATTTCTAAATATTTAAGGCTTGTCTTTGTGAGTGGAAGATCACCATTATCCTCATTATTTTTTAAAGTGTTTTCTCCACATCAATTTACATGATGGATATATGTAAGTCGGTGTGTGTGTAGGCTCTCACCACCACCAACCACCACTGACCATCGGTTTATTCTTCCACCACCGATGATCACCTTTAATGAACCGACCACCTCCCCTCTCCTCTTGCCCTCGCTTCATTTATTTTCTCTCGCAAATGCCGATCGCAATCGTGTCTTAGGTAAGATCTGATTTTTATTTTTTTTTTGTTGAAATCTTTTTTTTTTTTGAGGACTCTGCATGGAGAAATACAAGTCCTACTAGGATTGTGCCACGGGAAACTTATAAAAGCTCACAAACATCACCTTGGAGGGGGTAATTCAATTTTACTTTCTGAAAACTTAGAGCTTTGTCTATTCGTCAAGTTTTCTGACTTAGGCATGGGAGAGGTTTCCGGCACACACCCGCCGGCTAGCTCACGTTTGTGTTTTCAGGTGACAAAGCGACGTCGTACGGAGGAGCGTGGACTTGGTCAACAGGATTATACGAGGAGAATTATTTCCTCCCCGTACAATCTCTATCATTAATCTACAGGTACAACTAAGTTTCTCTTCCAAATGTTCTTCCATGACATGACACTGTAAAATAATGGTGAATGAAGATCTTTGATCAAGAGAATTCCTTACATTGAGGCAAAGAAAATGCTAAGAATAATAATCTTCTATATTTATATCCATTATATATATACCATAAATGAAATATATCTAATAATAATTTTCTCTCTTAGATATATGGTATTATTTATATATATATCTATATATATTATAATAAAATTTTACAAAAGTAAAATAGTCCCCATAATACTTCTAATATGAAAAAAAAGACTTATTAGAATATAAGTTCAAATGTATGAGATTAGGTGGAACACAAGAATACTTTGTGCACTTATTGTACTATAAATCCTTTAAATCAGATTTATAAATAAATCTCTCAAAAATTATTTTTTCTTTACTAGACATTTTGCAAAATATTATTTGTTTATTTAAGACTTCAAATCCAATAGAACCTAAAAGTGAATTATTATTTTTTTGGAAAGACATTAGAAAAGGTTTATTTAAAAAAAAAATGTTATCAACTAGCCTTAATTAATTAGGCATCGAATTTTAACAAAATATTTTCCATCAAGATTTTACTATAATTAAGGAGGATCCCCACCGGTCTATATTTTGAACTGGAGGGTGATATTTGGGCCCAAAAGGCTCATCAAGAGTCCCTTTTTGATGATCCAAATCGTTTATTTTGTCAGACACTTTGTGTATTTCATCAAAAAAAAAAACTCACTCTTTCTCTCGCTCTCTCCGCCTCTATTACAGAAATGTGATGATGTTACCTTTTTTTTTTCTTCTTTTCTCTCTCTCTCTCTCTCTCTCTGTGTTCATCTTCATTTTTTTTTTTTTTTTTTGTGAAAAATGGGCTATAGTTATCGGATCAATTTTTTTTTGTTTTTGTTAATAAAATACACGACAAAATGAACCGTTCAAATTATCGAAATGAGACCTGTAGTAGGCTTCAAAGGCCCAAACAACACTCTCCAATTCAAAATATGGATAGGAAGGGTCCTCCTCCCTTCCAACTATATCTTCTTCTTTTTTTTTTTTGATTCAACCCAACTATATCTTCAAACCCCCCCCAAATCCCATTAACATATTCATATGCATTTGTAAGGATTACCTAATCACCTAAGTTTGGTCGTATTTTCAATTTCATACTTTAGAAACAAAATAATAAAAAGTGCAAAATCAATTTTATTTTCACATTGTTGTCATCTTTCGTATGATAAGAGTTTATGAAATTTTAAAATAACTTTATAGTTTTGTGTGTGTGTGTGCGACAAAAGTAGTTATTAAAAAAAAATTAATGTGATCTATATCTTCTATCTTCTATATATCTCATTAACAGAGAATGGCAGTCCTGGAGATGCAGCTCTAACCCACAAAAGCCACTCTAGTTGTAATGCAATCGCAAAGCAATTGGTTGAGCTGTACTCATCAGTTTGCTATGTGATCATTTTGGGAGTGCATAGCACTTAAGTTTTTGTTTTTTTGTGTTTTTTTTTTTTTTTTTTTTTTTTTTTAAATCTTTTTGCTTTGATCTTGTTTGGTTTGCTACTCACCAACTTGTTGGGATGCTAGTAAATGATTGAGCTTGTTTAATAGTGCCAACCTAGTTGAGATCATTTTGTTTTTGTTACGATCTGGTTTTTGGTTTCCTTCTTTAGTAAAGTTTCTTTTGTCGATTACAATCCTTCTTTTCAACTTTTTCTATCCTGAAACATTACATCAATAAAGAGGAGGTGCACAAGGTTTGAACCCAAGACTTTAGATTTTATTAAGAACATTAATTTCTTATCAATTGGGCAATATGCATATTATAATACTAATTTCTTTTGTTGTTGTGGAGCTCTCAAATGACAGTATATCGGAGGTAGGTTGCTGAACTTGCTATCATTCTTTATCTACTCTACAGGTATGCCTATCCCTGTACACATTACATTGTCTATAGACAAGCTTCAAGATCAGTACATGAATCTAAAGATTAGATTGAAAGAGAAAGATGAAGTCATCGAGTGTGCTGTGGTTTGTTGTCAAGATCTACACTAGTTGAGTTCTAATTTTGTATAGTCTCAGATTTGGTTATAGTCTCAAATCTAGTTTTGGAAGAAACTTATGATGATGATGAGTTGTGCGTGTGTGGGTGTATGTTTGCATATGATGCATCTGTATGGATCTGTGTGTGGGTGTGTGTATTTTGTTGTTATTGTTGTTGATGTGTTGGTGTTCATGATGTTGATGATGATAATGAAACAGATTAAAACAAATTTGACAGATTTGTTCAAATTTTAAACAGATAATACAATTCTATACAGATATGATAGGTTTGTTTTGAACAAATTTGTTCAAATTTTGAACAGATAATATGGGTTTGGTATTTTAATAGATAGGGTTGGCTTGGTATAAATGTAAACGGATAAATATAAATTTGAACAGATAAAGAGAAGTAGAGAGAGAAATAGATAGAAAGAGAAAAGAGAAGTAGAGAGAGGAGCAGATAGAGAAAGAAGTTTGAAAATGGTGTTAATTTGAACAGATAGGAAAAATAGGTCATAAAATTTTAACAGATAAAAAAAATTCAACAGAAAAAAAATTGAATAGATAGTCAAAAAAGGTCAAACAGATAAAAAAAAAGTCAAATAGATAAATTAAGAGGTAAAATTTGAAACAAAATATTCTTTTAAAATAACAAAAAGACTTCTCACCAAATTATTTCATAAATGGTGGATCTCTCACCAATTTTCTCTAATATTAATTTTTTATTATTTATTTTTATTTTTACTTATTTGAATTGCATCCGCTTGTACTATTATTAGTGAGCAGCATACATATTATAATACTAATTTGTTTATTATTTATTTTATTTTTACTTAATTGAATTACACACATATTGCATGTGCCATCCGCTTGTACTATTATTAAGTGAACAGCAGACATATAGATAGAGGTGGAAAATGTTTGAACCCAAGATCTAATTCTTACCACTTGAGTAACCTATGATATTAATTTTTTTATTTTTTATTTTTATTATTAGTTATCTGAATTCCACTCGCTAGTTTTTATTATGGAAAGCAATTCTTTAAAGTATGTGTATATTGTTAGGTATAAAATTTTGAAATTTAGGGGTAGTTTGGAATGTCCTAAATAAGTGTATTTTTTAAATTTTTATGAAATATGAGTTGGGTATGGGTTGAGTTTGAAGTGATGTGGTAGAGAAGTGATGTGACTTAAATAAGATGATGTGACTTAATTAGGATAGTGACTTTTTGACTTTTTATATTTTTTAGTTTATGTCAAACAAGGCCTTAAATTCCTAAATTATAGGTGAATTCAATAGCGAATGATATTTAAATTTTAAACTTCAAATTTTTAATTTTGAATAGCCAATAATAGCTTTCTCTTTTTAAAAAATAACAAAAAAATCAACGTAATTACATTAGAGTTTTGAAATTTTTAGAGCTCTCAATATTAAAAATCTCATTTTACTTATATAATATATAAATAGATTTGTAATGTTAATAATATATTGTAATTAAATTATTTTAAGTCATAATTAAAATAATAAGTGAACAAAAACAAATATTTGATCATTGCTGAATTGATGTTGCATAACCACATAAATACAAGTCCATGGAAAATAGCATACGTCTGAATACAAGATTTATATAAACAAAAGAAGAAGACTAAGAATGACAAACTGTCAAATTGACAATTGACAATAGAAAATAATGAAATGAAAATAAAACATATTTCCCATAGAATGCACTTTGATAATTTTTAAAGGTTCACAAATTACCTTTGCATGAATAATCTTTCATGTAGTAATTGTAACATGTATTGGCCAAACACTACAGCATTGGAATTATAAGAAGAACTCAACAGATAAACTCATTCCAGAAGTTAATAATGCACATCAGCTTGCATGTTTGTTGAGCTGCAGAAAGTATATTGTACGAAATGGTTGATGTGGTAAGAAGCCTTCACTTGATGGTAGAATAGAGCAACTCGAGATGAAAAGTCAGAGAGGAGCATCAACACACTATGCTGTAAAGGAGGGTCCTATAGAGTAGTGCGGACGCAATTATTGTGGTCTAATTTTCGCCATGTACATAGAACGATGTCAAAAGTTACACAATTCATTTTGAACTACTTCAGTTAAGGATCCATGAGAAAAAAGTTGGGAATTACATGAATTTCAGCAATGATTCCAAATGAGTTTTTCCCATGATTATATTTAATGATGCCATCAAGGAATGTTCAAACCAGAATCTGGGATGAGCTTTAGTCATTCCAGAAGTGGGATTGCTACGTGGGAGTTAACAGGGGTTTGAGTGAGTTTAAAACCACGAAGCAGCAGATACTAGGCGAGACCTCAAGTATGGCATCCACATTGTTTCTCTGTCTGGTATGAAGGATAGAAAAATGAAAGAAAGGAAGATCAGGTAGGATGGATGGGAATAGACAGAGTATCCCTAGCAATGGAAGCTGTATATTTCAGCTTTTGTTTGGTTTAATAAGTGGGTACATGTGGATCTCCAAATGACGCACCCAAGGGTTAGCTCCAAATGACAAAGGCACAAGACAAGCGGATCTCCATCACTAAGCTTCTGTCACAAATCTCCCATCACCAATCTGCTCCCCACTTGTCCATAAGAGATTTGCCAAAGGACTTCACCAAACCAGGCTGAGAGCCGGGCCTGAATTCTCGCACAGGACCATTGGAAGAAAGAGAGGTACAAACACACCTTCAACTTGTGATTCTCCGAGGAACATATCATACCTATTTCTGGGGGCACTATGATATGATGTCCATTGGTTTAGCATACCTACCACTACAGGCACACCATGAAACAACTCCCAAAGTTTGACTTCAGGAGCAGTGATTAGTCCATACATCAGGATTGTCAAACCAAGGGGATTACGTTAACTATCCTTATAGAGTTGGCCCCCATCGTTCAACTTTCCTGTATAAGGAGACCTCTCTATGCATAAACATCAAGCCTTCTCCAATCCCCTTCAGCAAGATCATAAGAATCTCCATTGCCAATCTCTCTCTCTTTCTATATATATATATATACACACGCACTAGGGTTTCCTTGGATTACATTAACTATCCTTACAGAGTTGGCCCCCATCGTTCAACTTTCCTATATAAGGAGACCTCTCTATGCATAAACATCAAGCCTTCTCCAATCCCCTTCAGCAAGATCATAAGAATCTCCATTGCCAATCTCTCTCTCTCTCTCTCTATATATATATATACACTAGGGTTTCCTTGGCTCTCTCTCGTCCGCCTCTGGTGGTCCCATGCCAATTGTGTGCCTACCATCTTCCAAGATATCGAGGAAAGAAGAAAGGATGAAAGATTTCACTGCTATGCCTTTACATTGTATCTAAATTGTATCTATTACACAAAAATTATGCAATCTCCAGTCCAGTATACTAATTTTTTTAACAGAGAACATTCCAATATAAACCCAGAGTGCATAACGAAGACATATAATCTGATTGAAAACAACTCCATCCAGATATGTAACTGCTTAATTACACAAACACCAATCAATTTGATATTGAATTCGTTGTAAAACCTAACCTAGCGATTCCTAAAACCGAAATAAACAACAAATACACAAAGCTAAACCGCATCCTAATGGAAACAAAGATCCCTACAGAGAGAACCGACTCTGAAACCCAATCTTTTGATTCGAGAAATTGGACGATTTATTGGTGCTTTCCCCAGATTCGAGAAAATAAAGTACATCGTCACAGCCTCTGATTCATTCGCCGAAGACAGCGCCATTGCTAGGGTTTGCAGGGATGAGATCGACGGCGGCCGATTGGTCTGCCATTGCTAGGGTTTCCAAAACACGTCGGAGTTGAGAGAGAGAGAGAGAGAGGTGATTGCGGGGGGAGGGGGGGCTCGAATTCGATCTGAGATGTTTTTGATGTTTAATGTTTGAGGATAGTTATAGGAAAGGCCATAGAAGCGATCAATTTTTAGGTTTTGACTACAAATTCACAAAATTGAAAATTCTAATTTGTCTGTGTTGCCTTTTCACCCTCAACTAAAACCATTGACCCGCTTTCTCTCTCTTTAATGTTTGATGTTCATGATGGTTAACACAATGATGTTCTATTTTATGGTATTTTTTGATGTTCATTAATCAGTGTTTGGCTGAGGATAAAATATATCCATCGCTGAAGTTCGAACCCATAAAATGATTAATGATCGATTTTGATGTTGGAAATTTAGAGGAATTTGAGATCTGGGTATCTTTTGAAATTGGGTCTTGAAAGAGAGAGAGAGAGAGAGAGAGAGAGAGTTTTGATGATGATGTTGTGATGTTTGATGTTGTTTTGATGATGATTTTTGTGATGTTTGATGTTGTTTTGATGATGATTTTTGTGATGTTTGATGTTGTTTTGATGATGATTTTTGTGATGTTTGATGTTGTTTTGATGATGATTTTTGTGATGTTTGATGTTGTTTTGATGATGATTTTTGTGATGTTTGATGTTGTTTTGATGATGATTTTTGTGATGTTTGATGTTGTTTTGATGATGATTTTTGTGATGTTTGATGTTGTTTTGATGATGATTTTTGTGATGTTTGATGTTGTTTTGATGATGATTTTTGTGATGTTTGATGTTGTTTTGATGATGATTTTTGTGATGTTTGATGTTGTTTTGATGATGATTTTTGTGATGTTTGATGTTGTTTTGATGATTATGTTTGATGTTGTTTTGATGATGATGTTTGATGTTGTTTTGATAATGATGTTGTGATATTTGATGTTGTTTTGATGATGATGATGTTTGATTTATATGCCCTCTATGGTCTATTTTCCTATAATAGGACTTTTCAGTCTATAAGAAAACTTTTAGGACTAAACAGTGTATAAGTTGTTAATTTGGGATTTATTGGTGCATCACCCTTCTTTCTATCACATTATTTACATTAATTTTTAATTATTTTTACTTTATTAAAAAAATCAATATAATTATGCTAAAATTATGAAATTTGTTATTAGTATAATTTACCTTTTTAATTTGGAAAAGATTCACAATTCCATCCCGTATATCATATAAAAGGATAAAATTGGGGCAATGTTTAAAAAATTACGCTGAATATTCTAAAAAATTAAACTATTTACAAAAATATTCTACTTTTAAAATTATTCATCAACCTAACCAGTTTTATCACATCAAACTTCAACTTGTAATTTCACTTTGAAATTAGATATTTAACTTGTCTTTAACTTGTGATTTCATGTTAACTAAAGAGAAATAGAATATGTCAGTAACCACTAAGAGACATGTCAACATGAAATTACAAGTTACAGATTCAATTTCAAGTTCAAATTGCAATTTTATAAAGCAATTAGTTTGATAAATAGTTTTAAAAGTGAATTATTTTCATAAATAGTTTCATTTTTTAGAATATTGAGGAGAAAAAACCTCCACAAAGAGAGTGGAAAAGAAATCAAACTAACGTTTCTTGTTGAATGAATCTGTTCAAGTAAAGATAAGCAAAATTGCAAAAAAGATTGGAGGGGAGATTGAATCTGCCATCCTCTGCGGACATGTGGATTAGTTAACTAAACGACAGAACCACCAATCACGCTCTGGTCAAATGGCCACGGTTCATCCACCAGATTTTTGGTCCTGTCTCCTTTGAACTCAAGAATTCAGAGGTACGATCCTAGAGAACAGATCCTGTTCAAGTACAGTCATGTCCTATTTCCCTCTTCTGATCTTATAAATACAGGTCAGTTTTCTCATATTGTTTCGATGTGGAACTCTCTCTGTCTTTTTTTTCCTCTCGTCCGTCTTCCAACTTCTTTTTGTACTTGGGGGTCGTTTCTAGACACTGGGCTGAGCGTATTCATATGGGTTTCTTCAGGGTTAGCAATGCAAAACTTGCCTACAGATTGATTTTTTGGAGGCTAAGAGATTTATTTACTTTGTTATTATTAGTCTTGTTTTCTACAATTGTTTCACATCTGTTTTCCATACTGAATTTTATACTAGGGAAGTTGTAATTGTAAGTGGACTTGGAACCTGTTTGTGTGCAAAGAAAATCACCATGAATTAGTTAAAAGGGCCCTCGTAATTTTCCTAGACTGATATGCTCTTTGTCTCTGTAATCGTCTGATGCTTTGTCGGGCTGTTGTTTAGAATCGAAGAACAGTGACCTTATGATTATGAACTTGGACAAGTCTAGTGACTTCTACATCAAAATTTGGGAGTGAAGAACCATGTTGGCAATCAAGAAAGTGGAATTTCTCTTCAGCAAATTGCTATTTTCACATTCTATAGGTGTTCTTTACCTATTAATAGTCTTTTTTTCTCTTGGGTTGTTGACCATTCAAGCACTTAAGGCATGCCCTCCTCTGTTTTACTGCTGCTTCTGCTTTGGAGTGCAGGAATGGGGTTTTCTCTTTTGATGTTCTTATTGACCGTGAAACCAGCCTCCTTATTCGAGTTTATCGGCAAGCTGTTACTGTTCCGGTCATAATTTTCTTCCATGGTGGAAGCTTTGTGCACCTCTCTTCAAATAGTGCCATTTACCGCACTCTTTGTCGCCGCCTAGTGGGCATTTGTAAGGCTGTTAGTGGTATCAGTGAATTATTGACGAGCACCTGAAAACCGTTACTCTTGTGCCTATGATGATGGCTGGGCTACTGTTAAGTGGGTTAGTTCAAAGCCATGGCCTCAAAGTCGAAAGGATTCAAAAGTTCATATTTACTTGGCTGGAGATAGTTCTGGTGGTAATATTGTTCACAATGTTGCTGTAAGATCCATAGAATCAGGCATTGAAGTAATGGGAAATATACTTCTCAACCCATTGTTTAGTGGGCAGAAAAGAACTGAATCGGAGAAACGATTAGATGGAAAATATTTTGTCAAAATTCAAGATCGCGACTGGTACTGGAGAGCATTTCTTCCTGAAGGAGAAGACAGGGACCATCCAGCATGTAATCCATTTGGTCCCAATGGTATAAGCCTTGAAGGCATCAAGTTCCCGAAGAGTCTTGTTGTTGTGGCTGGTTCAGATCTTATTCAGGACTGGCAATTGGATTATGCTGAGGGGCTAAAGAGGAATGGCCAAGACGTGAAGCTGCTATATTTGGAACAAGCAACTATTGGGTTCTACTTGTTACCCAACAATGAACACTTCTACACTGTTATGGATGAGATACGTAATTTTGTTAATCCTGAATTGTCAATAAACGTTACTTACTGACAGGGCAGCAATACTTAAGAAGCTTGACATGTCGCCATGTGGGTTATCTGTTGGGATCGGGGATCCCGCCCAAGACCTTATAGAAATTATACCAAGCAGAAAAACACATCCACACTCAAGGAGACACCATATTTAATGTGGTTTAGCCTCAATGCCTACGTCCACGGGAGAGTAGCCGGTTATCACTATAACAATGGAGATATTACAAAAAGATTACAATAGAGGAGAAGCTCACACTCTCCTCACTCACCCACTCACCTGTCTCCCTCGCTCACACCGAGAGAGACGGTTTCTCTGCCTCACATCTTTCACTCTCTTTGGCTTGCTCTTTCTTTCTCTCAATTAAACTCTCCCCTCAGCCTCTATTTATACACTAACAAAATAGTGGAGAGCTTGGATGTCCTTGCACATGGCCAGCTCCTTCTCCACATGTTGCAGCTTCTTTCACATGGCCAACACATGGGAAATGATCACCTTTGTGACTTTGTAGGTTGGCAAGCTTGTGCACTCACATGTGAAGGGAATCACCCCTCACATGGGGTGATATCCAACAAATCACCCCCTTAACCCATGTGAGGTGATCCACTGCACACACTGCTTTAATCTTTCACACCCAAAATCCAACATAATCTGCTATCATCATGAGACGTTATGCACCCCCCTGAAAGTAGAGATAATACACCAGAGAGTACAAGAGGAGGAGGCGATCTACATCCTCAACTCAACTCACACCACCTCTGATGGAGAGGCTCGCTCCTATCTCCACAGATCCTCTTCCACGCTTCTGTCTCGGATGTCTATACCTGCTATGCTTGAACTTGCGCAACCAAGATATCCGAACACCCCTGATTGGATGTCCTGCACCCCCTGCTGGGATGCCCTTGACTGTCATGCATTACCTCGCAGGACCAGTCATTGGAGCAATAGAAAACTCATCGTTTATCCCATCAACGTCCTCGGTTTTCTTTGCTCGGAGCTTTTTCTCTGAACTATCAGCCTTTGCCCTCTGCACTTCTGAACAACCTCATAGCGTTTCCATATACGCTCGTTGTTTGTGCTTTTGCAATCCCTAATTTGTTGTCCAGTAGATTGATGGTTGACAGTAGCCCCATCTGTCAAAACATCGTTATCTATGCAATTCCTTGCATAGTGCTCGCACCTATGGCTTCTAGTCTCCCTGTGTCGAGCTCGCTTGAGAGATCCGTATCAACTCTATCCTCTGCTGCCATGGAACTAAAGAAACCACCATAGAGAAAAAAGACTTTCCATTCCTTGGCACGCGCTCTTGCGTTTTATCCGTCTTAATTTCTTTGTCTGGCAATTCCTATGAACTTTCAACAACCCGCTGCTGCACACTCCTCTTGCGCCTCTGTACGACACTGTACCCTTGCACTGCTGCACGTCAGCATTTGTGCTTCTGCGCTTAGTATGCTCCTCTGCAACTATTGTTCTACACGTCCACATACCACCACTACCTACTCGTATACAGTAGCTCCAACAGCCACACATTTCTCTAAGCCTGTACTTGCTGCCAAATCATCTATCCGTCGATGAATGGTCTTCTCTTCTGATTGAACCAGATCTTCCAATGAACTCTGAAGATAATCATCTCTGCAATCCTCTGATCGCCCCTGACAAATCCTGATCTCCTTCGATTTGCCATTTGATCAAGCCTGATCTCCTCTAGTCTTCAATGATATATCTCGATCTGAATCTGGTTATCCAATCTGGTCAGAATCTGCCCATTCTAACCTCTTCAGTGAATCCACAGCGTTCCACAATATCCGACAACCTTCTTTCGACTATTGAAGATGACAAACTCCCATGTTTTGACAATCTTTAAAAATCGTTTAGAATTTCACTATTCTGACCTCGCGGTTGCGTCCGGAACGGTCCATTTAGCTAGGACCAACCTTCGCTGCACTTCCGGGGACCTCACTGAAAATAATCCTCGAAAGTTGGGCCACACCATAATTTTCTAAAAATTCTGGGCCAAATTGTAATTTTCAGAAGTTCAGGGAATATTCTTTATTCCAACAAAATATTCTGTCCACTACACCGGGCGCTGTCTGCCACTTTGTTCTGCCTTACAGAAACTCCAATTTCAAAATCTGACCATACGGATGTGTTCGAAATACTCCAAGTAGTTGGAGAGCACTATTGGATCGCCAGAAACGGACTCTGAATGGCTTAGATCAAGCCAAAACATTTTGTACGCCTCAGATCTGCGGCTACACCTTAGCCGAGAAGCACGGGATCACTCCTCCTGTGGCTCCACCTTAGCCGCGTCGCACTGGATCCCTCTTCTGTGTGCTGACGTGGCAGATGACGTAGCGTTGACTGGTTGCCACGTGGCACTGACTGGTCTGCCACGTGGCGCTGACTAGACCGTTGACATGGCAGCCACGTGGCAGTCCATGGCTGACGACGGTGCCACGTGTCACCGACGTGGCGTGATGATGTGTCTTTGACGCGGCGCCACGTAGCTCGTGCGTGGTGTACACGCGCTCCCCCCACTCACCTTCTTCTTTCCGCTGCGCGTGAGGGCGTGTACGTGACTGATCCGGCACGTCGTCTGACTACACGGTGCGTGAACGCTCGTGCCGAGATTGGGCCTCACTCTCCTTCTTTAGGAGGCACGTGACGGCGCGTCCTTGCTCATCTGGTGATCTGCTTTGTTTTTTTGGACTCCTCTCGTCGAGCCCTTGCTCCTGATATGCTCAAAACCTGATTTTGAGCAACTTGATTTCTGGGCAGTTTCGAAAATCACACTATTTTTGTTCCGAAACGCCACCGACGAGGCTTTGATACCACTTGTTGGGATTGGGGATCCCGCCCAAGACCTTATAGAAATTATACTAAGCAGAAAAACACACCCACACTCAAGGAGATACCATATTTAACGTGGTTTGGCCTCAATGCCTACGTCCACGGGAGAGTAGCCGGTTATCACCATAACAATGGAGATATTACAGAAAGATTACAATAGAGGAGAAGCTTATACTCTCCTCACTCACCCACTCACTCGTCTCCCTCGCTCACACCAAGAGAGACGGTCTCTCTGCCTCACATCTCTCACTCTCTTTGGCTTGCTTTTTCTCTCTCTCAATTAAACTCTCCCCTCAGCCACCATTTATACACTAATAGAATAGTGGAGAGCTTGGTTGTCCTTGCACATGGCCAGCTCCTTCTCCATATGTTGCAGCTTCTTTCACATGGCCAACACATGGGAAATGATCACCTTTGTGACTTTGTAGGTTGGCAAACTTGTGCACTCACATGTGAAGGGAATCACCCCTCACATGGGGTAATATCCAACATTATCTTCATTGGGTCTGGTTCATCTTCGGTGAGAGATGGCTGGGCTGGGTTTGGTTGTTTGTTGAAGAAGGCAAGTGGTTCAGCATGTAGCTGGCTGGATTGGGAGGCTCTGTTTCTTTTGCAACTCGGGTTTTTGGAACTTGAGTGATATGGTGTTATGTAAGTA